GCTATTACCTCTTCTAAAGTTGAGTTGACCTGCATTGCTTGTGGTCCTTTCTTTCCTTGTCTTTTCATACTGCTCGCGTGTTTCTTTCTGCTTGGTGCAACTGTTGTGTTTTTGAAATTTACCCCCTATTTATTTATATTGCTCTTGTATAGTTGGGAAGTCTCCCTTGCAGGGCGGGTAGTGGCTGTGCTCCTCCTCTAATTAGGGTAATAGACCTTTATTTTATTTATTTATATGTGGTGTTGAGAATTGAACCCAGTGCCTTACACATGCCAGGCAAGTACAATACTGCTGAGCCCCAGCCCCAGCCCAACTTTATTTTTTTATTTATGTATTTTTATGTGGTGCTAAGGACTGAACCCAGTGCCTCACAAATGCTGGACAAGTGCTCTGCCACTGAGCCACAACCCAGCCCTCCAAACCTTTTTAATATTTTATTTGGAACTAGGGTCTTTCTGAACCGCTTAGGGCCTTGCTAAGTTTTGAGGCTGGGTTTGGACTAATGATCCTCCTGCCTCAGCCTCCCAAGTTACTGGGATTACAGGTATAATGGCTCTTTAAAATTCTTGTTCTTGTTAACTCTTCTTCCTTTTTAATATCTTTTTTTTTTTAATGACCTTTTTTCCTCTTTGAAACTTTCTTTCTTCCCTTGATTCTCTAACTTGGCTCCTGAATTGCTTCTTGATTTCTCCTACATACCACTTTAGATATTCTCCAAGAGTTTTCTTCTGAGACTTCTCAGTCTTGAACTTGTCTTCAGTTTGGGATTTAATGTTGTTTACTCTGTCTTTCTTGACACTGTGTTCTTTATCTCTGTGCTATTCCGTACCAAAGCTCCTGTACCATTGCTTGATTTCAGTGGCTTCTGAAGAGTTAGCCTTCTGTGGATACTGAAGACTTAATCATTTACATGTGCACCTCAGCCTTTCTACTTCCTGTTTTYCTGTTTCCTGTCCTCTCCACCTTACTCTTTATAGTCAGTGCTTACATGTCACCTTATCAGAAARATATTTCTTGGCCGGCTTATTTAAAATAACATCCTCCCTTTTCATTACCCCCAGTCCCCTTACCCAGATTAGCACTTTTCACTTTCTGACATGAAAAGTGTGTTTGTTTGTTTATTGCCCCCCCTACTTTATGGAATGTAAACGACTTTGGTTTGTGCTGTGTTGTTCAGCATCTAAAGTGCCCAGTACATTATAGGTACTCATGTATTTATTAAGTAAATAATTAGATTGAAAACTCTTTGAGGTTAAAGACTTTGTCTTAAGGTTTTAAAATTCTTGAAGAATGTAACCCAGTTCTCTGCCATGACAGAAGTATTGATAAAATATATGGGACTTGGGGCTTCTGTTGTGGCTCAGTGGTGGAGTGCTCGCCTAGCATGCATGAGGCACTGGGTTCGATCCTCAGCACCACATAAATGTAAAATGAAGATACTGTGTCCACCTAAAACTTAAGAATAAGTATTAAAAAAAAATACATGGGACTTTAGTTGAGAAATACTTAAGATTAGCCAAGTTTAAGGTAAGATCTGAGAACACTATAGATTTGCAGAGGCAGGAAAGCCCTGGACCTGTATGTGGAACTGAGTAGTCCTAGTCAGTGGACATGTACCCTGCCTAGGAAATAGCAACTCCTATGCCTTACTTCCTGGATATGGGTACAGTAAACCTGGACTGGTACTAAATTTCCAAATTCTTTTAAATAGCTAGGTTTGAAAACTATTGGTTTGTAGGTTATATGAAATCCAGTCCTGGAAAGTAAGTGTGGAACAGTGGATGAACAGAAAGTTAGGGAGCTGTAGAGGCTTTTGAGAAGCAAAGGAGCATGGTCTGTCATTTACTAATCATGTGACTATAACCTTGCTGTGCCTCAGCTTCCTCATCTGTAAAAGAGGATCATATTAGCCCCTAGCTCAAAGAATTATTTGAGTAAATGAGTGAACTTACATGAAGAGTTGATAACAGCGCCTGGCATGTAATAAGTGCAATAGAATTAGCCTTCATCATCATCATCAAGTAAAGCAGTGGCATTAGTGTTGCACAGTAGAAAACTGCCAGCAGTATTTGAGAATACACATTTTGGAGGTTGGGAAATCAGTTAGAAGACTTACTTAGGAAAGGGAACAATTGTGATTTAAAGAGAGTAGATGTTTATGTGTTATACACACGTGTACGTAACTGAAGTGGAATCAATGAGACTTGACAACTCATTGGATTGAGACAAGATCAGGAAGAGGGAAAGTCAAAGATTGCATGAAAAGTTCAAGTATAGATGATAATGGTGCCGTTCAGAAATAAACACAGTAAAGAAGCAGTGATATGGTTCATGCTGATCTTTAGACTTCTGACTAGCTGCTGCACATAATTGAATTTAAGGGGATTAGAGGGCAWTTTGGGAGATGGGCTATTGAACAATTCAGGATCGTGACTTTAAAAGGAGGTCGGGACTGGAGATAATAGATTTGGGAGTCATCCATATGAAAGGCTTACAGTTAAAGCTCTAAATTTGAGTGATGTGGTTCAAGAAGAATATACATTTAGACAAGAGATGGGCAGAGAACCTTTAAGGCCTTCCTCCATTTATAAAGTGAAAAGAGAAGAACCTTTATTAGAAAGAAGAAAAAGGTAGAATAGTTAAAGAAACAGGAAAACTGAGTTACTATACTGAAAATTTAGGGAAGAAAGGAATAGCAAAGTATTACTTGGTGGTGAGAGACTGAAGAGAACAAGCATGGATTATCTTTGACCAATTTTAATATACTTTGGGGGTAAACCCAAAGTGCAGTGAAGGAAGTGGAGGCGGTGAGTATGTGCTCTTCCTAGTGTAAAGAACACTATGAGTAAAGACAGGGATAAGAGTGGGCCTGGTGAATGCAGAATGATAGGCATCAGTCTTAGACCACGTGTTCATAGCCAGAGTAGTAAGGAGTGAAGTTGGATAGATGAGATTAGAGGTAAGGTGTGAAGGCCTTTGAATTCCAGGATGAATAGTTGATACTTGACTTATCAGGGAATTAAGTTAAAAAAAAAAAGTACAAAATGAAGTGCAAAAGTTGCAAAATGCCCCCAAGGACATTAATTTGTCTGTGTGGAATCACTTAAGAGGATTTTCTATTCATCTAAATGGGAGATAATGTCACTCTAAGCTAAGGAGGTGCTAGAATTTACTGATGCAAGTATTTCTTCGTTTACCCTTTATCACAGCACTGAAGGGCCAGAGTTATTATAAAATGTTATAAGTTAGTTGGAAAATGCCAAGGTCAATACATAAGAAAGAATGGAATTTTTAATATAGTGTAGTAGCCACTTTCTCTCAAGTCCATTATGCTTTGGAAACTAATCTAATTGGCAGGAAATGAGCTATTTATTTTTGGTTTTGAGAGGCCTTTAGTTGTGTTATTAAACTGCTGGTGTTGCTTTGTGTTCACTTTCAGAAGGAGAGTATTTATTTGTAAAAATACTTCAAACCAGTTTTCTTTTCCCTTCCTTTTTAGGCTAGGTCCTTTCACAAAAGTGTTCCTGTGAAAGCATTTCCTGCTTTTCTTCAGACGGTAAGTACATTAGCAGAGAAGGCTGTATAATTAGTGAAGCAGATGTGCGTGATTTCCTTTTGTACTTTACAAGGTTTGCAGTGCAGTTCTTCCATTTGGAGCCTTTGATTTTATTTCCYCCAGGATAGTGGGCTTTATTAATTACGTGGTGTTTTTGGTGATGGTTATTCCTGTACTTCCAGAGGTTGGTGAGCTGAATTGTCATTAGCACTGACTACAGCCAGACTACATTGGGTTGAATCTGCTTTGCCCTTATTTGCCATGGGATCTCAACTTTCTTAATCCTTGTGTTCCTCAGTTTACCCACTGATAAAATGGAAAATAATAGGAGAAACTATCTTATAGGATAGGATTGTTTGCTACTAGTAGCTATATAAGTATTGCTTACTCTATTAATTTTTTCTGCATAGCAAACTGAGCATATTGTGGAATTGGTTTCTGAACAGTGGTTCACAGCCCAGTACTGAGCTGGCCACATCAGAATAATGTGGAGAGCTTTTTTGGAATGTGGATTCTTGGGGTTTCATTAAATAAAACTCTTGATATTGAAGAGGGGACAYTTCCTAAGAGACTCTGTGATTTTTAAAGAATAATTCTATGTAACCAGTTTTGGGAACCGTTGTTCTAAAATAGAGAACTATTGTTCTACATAGAGAATTTATAATTTATTATTATTATTATATTTATCTTTGTAGATGGACAGAATGCCTTTATTTTATATGTTTATTTTTATGTGATGCTGAGGATTGAACACAGTGCCTCATGCATGCTAGGCAAGCACTCTGCTGCTGAGCTCCAGCCCCAGCCCCGAGACATTATGATTTCTTCCAATTATCTGGAACCCATCATGGGACAGGCTCTGAACTAGATTTTTCCATACATTATTGCTAGTCTTCCTGGGAATAAACGTAGGTATGGCATAGAAAGCAAACTTCAAATATTTGTGATCTTTGAAAATTGTGAACTCAGGTTTTCTATAAAACCAAACATATTTTCTTCTATCTTTTCCCTCCAAAATGTATTTAAAGATTTATTTTCTATTCTTTCATGTATTCTATGCTAGTTTTATCCTAAGTTTCTAGGTCTGTGTGTTTGAAATMATTTTCTTTCTTTATTGATTTGCTTATTATAAAGCAATACCCTTAACRTTTTAATGTTTGCATAATATGAAAGGATGCAAAAGAAGGCATTAGAACTCCCACAATTCCACCTTATACAGAAATAATGTCTTCATCTTAATATTGTTCTATTATCCTTTTTGATAGTTATTTGGAGGAAGTCCCACCAGCTATTTAACAYACAGAGTAAGCTCAATAAAGTTAAGGACTTTGTTATGTACTTCTATTAAAAAAAAAAGTTGTTCTCAATTTTTCCTGCCCATTAAAATCACTTTGGGCATTTAAAAATAAAAACTAAAACAATGCTTGGACCCTTTTGCAATTAAATCATAATACCTAAGAGACTGGGCGAAGGCATTATTAATTTTTAAAAGGTTCCCCAGSAGTTGTAAAGTACAGCTTGACCCAAGAACCACTAACTTAGTCCCACAGTTCTCAACATATATTCTGGAACCAATTCCCTAAGAACACTGAGATGAACACTAAAATATTTTCAGAAAAAGGGAACATGTGAAATAGGTGCACTAAAATATTCTCTAAGGGTTTTTTAAAATTTTATTATTTTTAATATACAAATCAATCTATGAATGTATGTATGTTGTATGTATTACAAAGCACAATACAGTTAATACTCATGGACTTACCAGTCAATCCAGGAACTAGAGTTTCACTGTTAAATTGTACTTGTTTTAGGTGAGTACCATGACCCATGACTATAATCCCAGAAACTTGGGAGGCTGAGGCAGGAGGATCAAAGTTCAGGGCCAGCCTCAGCAATTTAGTGAGACTGTCCTGGGAATGTAGCTCAGGTGCCCCTCGGTTCAATCCCACCCCTCACCAAAAAAAAAAAAGAAAAAAAAATTGTACTTGTTTTCCCCACTTCGCCTCCCTGCTTTTGCCTTTCACTTTCACTATCCTAAATTTTGTGCTTATTATCCCCTGGCATTTGTTCCATAAAACTTTCCTCATTTTGTATTTTCCTAAACAATATGTTCCTTAATTTTATTTCTGAGCTTTATAAAAATGGGTCATTTTCTGTTTGGTCTTCTAGGACACACACACACACACACACACACACACACACACACACAGCGTTTTAAATTTTTTTTCCATATTACATCTGGTTATGGTACCTTCATTTCACTACATTGTAATATATCATTATATGAACAATTTATTTCCTTTGTCAGAGAATTTCTAGTTTGTTTCCAGGTCTTTAGTTAATATAAAACAAGGCAACTATGCATTTTAATGCACATATTGGTTGTTGTACATATATATATATAATTAGGGCATTAAAAAAGTAGCTGCTAAATATGTATGTATACACTCATGTTTATAAATGCATAGGAAGAAAATAATTTGAGTTTTCTTTCCGTCTATATATTTTAAAGAATTTTCAGGCATAAACCCTGTGTTGTATCATCCATGTTCTATGCTGCAGAACTCTAGGGGGCGCTGGGCATGTGACTTGAGAAGGGAGTGGTGCCTCAGAATCATGGAGTGCAAAATTAAATGGCTTCTTGTTTAATAAAAAAAAAGTTATTAAAATAGAATTTTATAAAATAGCAAAAAATGACAGAAAACCAAAAAATAAAGAATATCACATGTTGCTGTTTTATTTATTGGTTTGTTTTTGTTGTTGTTGTTGGGGATTGAACCCACTTTACCACTGAGCTACATCTCCAGCCCTTTTATTATTTTGAGACAAGGTCTTGCTGAATTGCTGATGCTATCCTTGAATTTGTGAACCTCCTGCCTCAGCCTCCTGAGTTGCTGGAATTATGAATATGCACAACTACACCTGGCTTGTTGGCATTTTCTATCCTGCCTCTATCTGGAAAAATTTTGTCAAATTTTAAGTGATGGAGAAAGGATAGATGACACTTATAGGGACCTGTGATTATTCCCTGTAGTTGAAAGATCATATTTTCTATTAAGAACATGGTAACCCATTAAACTTTTCACAAAATAGTTTTTAAAAAAGACAACTTGATCGCCCTCTTGCCACATTGCATTTGTGGGGCAAGATGAGGGATGTTTTMCATACCATGATTAAAACATCCTTTGTGTAAGACTAGGAGAACATAATTTCCTCTAATCCTTGCATCTTGACTAGAACATTATTTATCATAAGCAGACRAGGCTTGGCATTTTATACTAGCTTTGTGATACTTTTATTGTCCTAATCATAACTTATTGGACGATGTTTTTATTTTCTCTCTCCCTTTTTAAATTCCCATTTAAATTCTTATTATGTAGAAGACCATCTTGAAAGTCTAAAATAACCTTAATACTTGTACTTTTTCTTAAGTTGATTTGAAAGACTTGATTACTTTATGACCTAGTAACCTCTATTCTTTTTTTTCAGGTTTCTTTAGAGGACTATTTAAAGAAAATTCAACAAGTGGATTTTGATATATTCCATCCATCTTTACAGCAGAAAAATACATTACTTCCATTATCTTTGTATATTCAATCATGGAGGAAAAGCTATTAGAACAATTTCATGATGTTGATATGARTTTATTTTTAGTTCATTAGTTTTACAGAAATTTTCTAGTTAGGGTTCTTGTTTAGCAACAATAGCAACTAACTGTTTAAGTAGAAAAAGAATTATTGGTTGGGAGTTGAGTTAGCTCACAGAACTGATGTGAAGTTGCTGTGGGACTGGAGTGCCAAAACACTGCCAAGATTCTGCCACACACACCACCATTGGCACCACCAGCCCAGACAGGGTCTATTGTGCCATCCCTGGGAAGTCAGAGCCCAGGAGGGAGCCATGCTCCTGCCAAAGGGTGGGGAGAGGGAATATATTCCTTCCTCCATCACCCTTAGGAAGGGAAAGGGGAAGAGACTCAACTAGCACTGGGATTTATATGCTAAACATCTGAAACTCAGGTGTTATGTACAGCTGGAAATGCATTTATTTGCAGGTCGTGAAGGATGAACTTAATCTTTGAATAGTATCAGTTTCTATGTAGAGGGCTTTATATCCCTTATGTTTAATCTTTATGATCTTGTGTGAAAGTTTATCATGATGCTGAAACAGTTTATGTAAGGTACAGCACCTTTGTGAGAACTGGAGCTCTAATTTGATTTTAGGTGTGGTTGGTCTGGAAGCTCTGACCTTATTGTTAACCTTACTGCATCAGTCTGTCATTCAGTATTATGATCATGAACAAACTGTTTTGGCAWAATTTGTATTAGTGTTAATTATGTTAATATTGTATTGAACATCCATTAAGTAGATGTRTATTTTAAAAACTTGTATACATTGAGCTTCCCCGTGATAAGCACTGTAAACAAACACATTGTGTATTCTCATTTGATCTTCTTAAAAGCCCTATGAAATAAATGGTAATTAATGTATTTTGTGTGTGTGTGTGTGTGTGTTTGTGTGTGTGTGCAGGGAGGTGCTAGGGATTAAACCCAGGACTTCATACATGCTGGGCAAATTACCACTGAGCCCCATCCCCAAACCTCTTTTGGTAATTAAAAATTTTAAAATATAAAATACTTTCCATAAAATACATACCAGTTGTAAAAACCAACATTGTTTACATTAGTGGTAATTGATAAATTTGGAGTGTGACTAAGTCTCTAATTCCCAGGATTCTGCCATTATGCCACTATTTCCTTTGTTCTGCATTTCAGTTTTCCTGTTTTTCATGGTTTTGTCTCTCTCCTACCCAACTAATGTCTCTAGTGTATTGGTCCCATTTCTCCAAAGTCTCTGGACCTAGCTATGAATTAGTTCCTACTTAAATTGTGAGTTAAAATATTACATTGTGTAAATAAAATTCAAACTGAGAGCTTTTCAAGGACAAGAATGCATTGTTTCATTCGTCTTGGCACCTCAGTAACTAGAGTGGCTTCTGAGCAAGCCATTCTTACTTAGAGCAAGTAGAAATTAATAAATGTTTAGTTGAAGGAATGTTTAACATGGTGTTGTGTGTTATGCTTGGTTGATACTGATGCTGAAAGAGCATCCTTTATTTAATGCTGTGGCTTTAGAGAGCCTTTTAGCTTATCTTTAAATACAAGTACAAAGAAATGGGACATGTTTCCTGTTGGGATTGCAAATGCTCCAGGGTTGAAGAGTTCATTAAAGAGAGTCTTTGTTAGCATTGTCTGTGGGTCTTCCCAGGTTAAATTTGGCACTAATCAGCTGCTAAATATCTTGGTTCCTGTATAAGGGAATTAAAAAGAGGGTCTAAACATTCAACTGGATTACTAGATTCTTCACTAGCTCAGAAGCCAATTTACTATTAAGTAAATAATTTCAAAATACTTTCTAAGCTGTTTTAAATTTAATGCTTAGAGATTTGGATGAATTAAAGTTACCAATCTCTTAGAGATTAAAATGGAGTCTTATTCAATAACATTTACTCTACTATTAATTTCCTGGCCTAAAACCTTCCTGAGATGGTGCCAGTATTTCTTTTTACTTTGCAAATCTCTGGGGTTTTATTAGTATTTGAGAGAGTCAGATACATTTTAAAATCATTTTAGATGTATTTTGATGCTAAATAGGTGGAGAGCAACCAATAACAAATATTAAGTGTATGTTACAATTAAATTTGAGTAGAGTTGTCTGTCATTAAGAAATAAGTTTTGAGGGGCTGTGGTTGTGGCTCAGTGGTAGACCACTTGCTTAGCATGTGTGAGGCACTGGGTTCAATTCTTGGCACCACATATAAATAAATAAAATAAAGGTCACCAGTAACTAAAAAAATATTGAAAAGAAATAAATTTTTAGTAGTTCCTAGTCAATTGGAAATGTTATATCTCTCCTTTTGATGAAATAAATTTCTATTGAGAAATGTAATAGTTGGTAACCCTTCTTGAACRCAAACTTCGACAGGTGGTATACTTATACTTGTATGCTTTCATCTTCACAGTGAGTAGGGTTCCCCCACCTTTAGGTACTGGTAATTGAACCCAGGGGCACTCTACTACTGAGCTATATTCTAGCCCTTTTCATTTTTTTTTTTTTTTTTGAGACAAGTTCTAGTGCAGTTGCCCAGGCTGGCCTTGAACTTTCGGTCCTCTTACCTCAGCCTCCCAGGTACTGCAAAGTAGGTCTTTATTTTCCAATGATAAAACTATCTCAGAGATAGTAAGTTGTAGGTCACACAGCCATTAATACTAAAGCTGGGTGGCAAGCCCACGTCAGTTCAGTGTCAAAGCCCAAAGCTCATTATTTTTACCATTCTTGAGATTTGTAAAACTTCCAAGTTTAAAAGCTCAGAGGTACACAGTTTAAAGAAATGAGTATTACTGCATTAATTTCAGGTACAAATCAGATTTAAAAGTAATCACTACACAAGTTCTAACCACAAATTAGGTGAAGAAGAAATAGACAATTGAAATAGCAAGTGTTGGTAAGTGGGTACTTAAAACTGCCTTGAAGGTCAAAGGTTTCCAAGAAGAGGTGGAATGCAAATAGTGTCGGAAAGGTTGGGTAGAAGCCAAGGCTTGGAGAGTGGGTGTGAATGGTCTTGTCGAGGTCTTGATGGAAGGAGTAGTATATACAAGAGCCAGGAGGCAGAATGTTAAGACTCTTATTACTTTTTTTGGTTTTAGCTTAAGTAAAAAGAACAGAATGTAATATCCAGCATTCTTAGAAAAGTTTGTGGATAAAAAGTGGCCACATCCCCTGGACTAGTGAAACACTTTGAATTAAGATCAAAGACTTATATTTTGCTCATTTCAACAAATCTCTAGATGACCCTGGGAATGTTTTTTAGCTCACAGGAATTGGCTTTCTCTAAAGACATTGACCTAATTGATTGTTCAGAAAAAAGCCACAGACTGTAAACATTTTGCACAGTTATTGAAAATAGAAAATTATCCTACTGTGTGTTCCTGTAAGGAGGACTGAATAAGAAACTACACACACCCAGAAGTAGGAAGTATATTAGAAATGGATCAGAGGAAAAAAGAGAAGTTGGGAGAATACATTAAAATAATGTGGACATTTTTGCCTATTTTTTTCCTATAGTGAACATAGATACCTTGGGTAATTGCAAAGTTATTTCTTAAAAACTAGAATCCTTCAATATTACTCAGCAATAAAAGAGAATAAAATCATGGCATTTGCAGGTAAATGGATGGAGTTAGAGAAGATAATGCTAAATGAAGTTAGCCAATCCCCMAAAAAACAAATGCTGAATGTTTTCTTTGATATAAGGAGGCTGATTCATAGTGGGATAGGGAGAGGGAGCATGGGAAAAAAAGACAAACTCTAGATAGGGCAGAGGGGTTGGAGGGGATGGGAGGGAGCATGGGGTAATTAATGATGGTAGAATGTGATGATCGTTATTATCCAAAGTACATGTATGAAGACACGAATTTGTGTGAATATACTATGTATATACAACCAGAGATATGAAAAATTGTGCTCTATATATGTAATAAGAATTGTAATGCATTCTGCTGTCATATATAAATAAAAAAATTTACATTTAAAAAAACTAGAATCCTTCAAATGAGAAATGTGATCTACAGGGAAAGTGATTATAGAATAATGAATAGATAGGTGGACATAGTCTTTCTGTCGTCATTCTTCTTTATGGCTGAGAAAACTCCATTATCAATATACCACAACTTCTTAATCCATTCATCTATCCACAATTGTGGTATGTAGACAATGGAGTTTTACTCATCCATAAAGAAGAATAAAATTATGGCATTTGCTAGTAAATGGATGGAAATGCTAAGTGAAGTAAGCCAGTCTCGGAAAATCCAGAACTGAATGTTTTCTTTCATATGTGGAATTTAGAGCAAAATAAAGAAAAGAAAGGGGAGGCTCAGATATTATAAAGACAGAGTGAAGATCAATAGAGTAGAAGGAAGAGTTTGAGAGAAAGGGAGGAGGGACAGGAAAGGGGAGTAAAGAGTGAATCGATTTTTCAAAATCATGCTATGTGCATATATTACACCACAGAGAATTTCACCTTGTATATAAATAGAACCAATCAAAAATAGGTAGATGAGCAAAAGAAAGACCAGTAGAGGAAGGAATGGGAAGAGGGGAGGGAAACGGTGGGGGACATGAACTGAAATCAAATTCCATGCCTGTATGATTTTGTCAGGATGAACCCAACTAATATATATAATGCTCTAATAAAAAAAAAAAAAAAAGTGGTGGGGAGGGGTGGAAAGAGTGGGAATCTGAAAAAGCCTGATTGCCTGGGTTTAATCCCAGCCTCAACTCACTGATAACTAACCTCAGCAAATTTGTAAACTAGGTAGTCACACCAGCCTCATCAGTTGTGAGGAGTAAATGAGTTAATACCTGCAAACTATTTAGAATCATGACCTGCATGTAGTAATAAACGTTATCACATTCTTAAACAAGTCAGAAATTGGCAGCCTGATCCAAATTAAACACAGGCATGGCTTTTGAAAAAGAGAAGTTGAATGCCTTTAGACAGGACAGGTACTCACCAACTGGCCACAGGTCCCAGCATGAGCTAACCTCACACCCAGCCTGATTCACACATTTGCAGTACTTGCTTGCTCTCTAGACACTTGAGCTGGCAGCAGTGGTTTAAGAGAATTGGTGGGTGCTGGATTAATAAGTGATCTGCAATGGAAGGCTGGCCTCAGGGAGCACAGCCAGGCTCTCTCCCCAAAGGCTGACCATATTGAATTATTGTTTATGCCTTTCTCCTTCACTTTTCCAAGTACCTTGAGTGCAAGACACTATTTTACTCATCTCTATATCTTCAGAATTTACCATAGATTCTGATGCTACTCCAAAAATCTTAATGATCCGAAAAAACATGCTAGTGGGGTAGTGGACTCCCAGGGAATATCTCAATCTTTTATTTTATTTTTTTCTAATTAGTTATACATGACAGTAGAGTACATTTATGCATTTTGATATACATAAATGGAGTATAATTTCTCATGTTGTAGAATCACATGAGTCATGTAGTCATATATGTACATCAGGTACTAATGTCTGTTTCATTCTATTATCCTTCTTACTCCTCATACCCCCTCCCCTCCCTTTACTCCTAAAGTAACTTTATTCTTCCCTAGTCCCGCCCTCTTATTGTGAATTAGCATCCGCAYATCAGAGAAAACATTTGCCCCTTGTTTTTTKGGGGATTGGCTTATTTTGCTTAGCATGATATTCTCCAACTCCATCCATTTGCCAGCAAATGCATAATTTCATTCTTCTTTAAAGCTGAATAATATTCCATTGTGTGTGTGTGTGTGTGTGTATGCCACATTTTCTTTATCCACTTATCTGCTAAAGCACAACTAATTTGGTTCCATAGTTTAGCCATTGAGTTGAGCTGCTATAAAGCTTCATCACTATAATATGCTGATTTTAAGTCTTTTTGGTATAAACT